TTCCCTGTGAGGCATACAATGGAGCAAGCTGCTCCAGTGGAAGGGGTCCCTGCCAGCGGCAGGGGTTGGAGCTGGATGAGCTTTAAGGTCCCTTCCAGCACAAACCACTCTGGGATTTTATAACCCGGAAAGGCTGGTATCAGCTTCCCTGTGCCATTGCTGCTCTGACCCTTTCCAAACGACACTCCATACTTTCGCTCCCTTATGGGTAACTCACGTCATCCCATGGCGGCGTTGACCCACAACACATTTCCACACAAAACACCACTGGAACAAGCCTGCCCTTGAACACAGCCATATTTTGAACCTAGCTTTCCACAATTATCCAGCCTGCAGCTTCTGCCAGCGTGACACCACCAGAGCATCTGAGGAGCCCGTGGCACGGCACTGCCACAGCATCAGTGTGCAGGGGAACGGCGTTTTTCATCTTTATGTTATGCTCGGTTACCTTTATTGTTATCTTGTCAGCGAGCAAGAAGAAACGTTCACAGGGTCTGAGCATGAGCAATAAGCATCTTCTGTGCTTATCAGATGCCTCAGTGTTTGCTTTGGTGTTTAATTACAGGACTCACGTAGGGCGTTTATTGTGTGCATCTGGTGCCACTGTGAACAATGTCTACTGTGCTGATTGCCACACAAGGCAGTTTGTTATGTGTGTACCTGTCACTGGCACACGTTATCATCTCGCTGAGCAGATGCCACCCCTGCATGGGGATCCAGCGCTGCAGCGTTCTGCCTTACTGAAATAGCCAGGCACAAACGCGTTTGCTCAAGGTACCCAGGTCTCCCACTGTGAAATGAATGCGAGCTTTGCCAAAATGCTGCACCCAGGGGTTTCGGGGTCTTCGGAAAATGTTCTTCTGATCACAAAATCAATTTACAGAGAACGCTCTAAAAGCTGGTGGTTTATACTGTGATGATCTCACACACACGGCCACAGGGCAAAATAAATTAACTGCAGCTCTCAGTAATAAGAAAAATACATCCGTAGCATCATTAGCAAACCTCATCCCACTTTCCTATTCCTTAAACCTTTAGTTTCAGTGAATGCAGAAGATTTTGATTTCAAGCACCACACACCATAGGACTTTTGAAGTTTTTCAGTCCTGACATCTCCTTCTTAACTTTAACCACGTTGAAAGGATAATCTCTACCTTGTTATGAGGACTCACTTTTGGCTGCCTAAAACCCCGTAACTATGCTGACACACTAATAAAAGCAGCTATCATTGCGCCCATTCCCTACAAAGCAGCCTCAAAACCTTGGGAGCTGAATCAACTTCATCTTTTCCCTTCCATACTGGGACTGGAAGCAGTCATTGTTATTCTTAATGGGTTTGTTAAGATAGCACTACACCGGGCACAGTATCAGCAAACGGTTCATGCTGTTCCGCAGCTCTAATAGGACAAGCTGTGGCTGGGCTTTCAGCTAGAAGAATACATTTGCTCACCCTTCCTCCCATTAACACATGAACTTCAAACCTACATAAAGCAGCAGACTGAAGCCTCTGGAGACCGGAGGTGAGAGGATAATCTTGCCCTACAAAACGCCCTGCCTGTGGTCCCCTTGTCTCTGGAAAAACAGGATGTGTATTTGACAAGAAGATCCCTAACAAGATGCTCATCTCAATGCAGGTCCTCATTAGGGCAACACTAGTGCAGTTACCCAAGTACAGCTAGTGGGCATCAATAAGAAAATTCCTTTGGGAGTATGCTTTGGAATTTTACAATGGGGCCATTACCATGAATTCCACCTACTTTATGTTGAACAAAAGCACCAACCAATTTAAGTGCACCTCAGTCTGCATGGCAGCAGGGCCTGGTTATCATGAGCAGAGTGTAGATGGCTCCTACACGAGGGAAAACTGACTGATGGGCACCTAATGAAATGGGCAGGCTGGTGATGAAGGTTTCTAGGTGCTGGAGTGCAAGATAACTCAGTCCAGCTTCCTCGCAGCCAGCACTGCCTCCAAAAATCAATACACAATCCTTTGTTTGGCTGTGATAAAACATGTACAGTTATGTAAAGCTTGCAGAGAAGATTAGAGTTTCAAAGCCATAAACCATGCTGTCTGCTCACAAATGACTGCAGAGGACAGAGCTTGTAAAGCATCTCTTGATCATCGGAAGGCTCAAAGGGAAACAACGAGTTTCAAAGGGAATGGTTGCCACTTGCGTGTCTGTGTAACCAACGGCATCTTCATTTCCCCAGAAAACTCACCAGACCGAATTATGTATGCCTTAAAGTGTTCTAAAGGCATAATCCAAGCTTTGCTGCCTGACCGGATTATTCCATTCAGACATCTACCAGTATAGTGAGAGTGTGAAGGAGGCTTTGGGTCTGACAGGATCATGCTATCACTATAGAGATCCAGTGAGTTTCTCTAATGCAGAAGTTGACAAAAGGGGTCTCTTTTACTAAATGAGAACTGGAGAGACTAAGCACGAGACCATAACTGTTTGACTAAAATACCTGAAATTCAGCAAAGTGCTGGTTTACTATTATATATTATTAGCCTTTTCTAAGCTTTAAAAACGAAAGAAGCCCTATTATGAAACCTCCACAACATGAACTGAGGAACTACGATGGCACAGGAGGCCACTGTGGCATCAAAAGAAAGTCATCATCTGTGGCTTAAAACCCCCTTGAGAACAGGCACTGAAACCTGAAGGGAAGTATTCAATCCCCTCACTTGTTTTAGCACCTATCATTCCCCAATGTGAGAGAGCACGAAACAGATCTCATCCATGCACACAGAGCTCCAGCAGCCCCTTGACATACAAGCTACTGGGATTAATCCGAAGCTTAAAATTAACAAATTAAAGAGCTCCTTTTCTTCAATTATGATGAGAGATCAAAGCCAATGGATTAGCTTTTCAGAAGCATCTCCAGGTCTCAAGAGTTACCAGAGTTACTGGAGATTCTGCTGGGGAGGAAGGGAAAGAGAAAGAAAGGGAATGATCCCATCAGCCAGGCAGGTATTAAACCATAGCAAAGCGGTGTTTCACACATCACCATAACAATCCACTTATTGAAACTGAAAAACAATAACACAGAGAGGATAATTATTTCTTTTCCACATCAACTAAGCTTCTGCTTTCTTCCTTTCCACTCCTGAAAGTATGGGCTGAATGCCCTCTGGGTCCACATGGGTTGTGCCTGCCAAGTTGTCAACAGTGACTGCACAGGAACGCAGCACATAGGGAAGATGCACACAGAGCAGATACCTGCCATGATCACCAAAGCCTCTTGCCAGGTAAGGATTACACCCAGTGCTGTTCCGTTTGGTAAATCCACCAGCATGGGCAGCTGTCACCCTCCAACCAGATGGGCAAACCTTGGGTACCACCATGTAACATCATCCCCCCCAGATCCAGAAGTGCTTCACAAGCCAACACGACGACACAGTTTGCTTCACTCCCAGAGCCCTTTAGAGGTTTATCAGCTGAGTAATGCACATCACCACCACATGTCATTTGAAGTGGATAAGAGCACAAAAATCTCCTTATGACTAAAAGAGAGGATTTAGATAAGCAGAAAGTAATTACAGGACTGTTAGGAATGAGTTGAGCATTCCCTCCCCTTCAGGAGAACAGTTACAACATCAAGAGTGATTTTCACAGGCAGAGATCCTGGCTTCACTCTTTTCCTGAATTCCCTAGGATTCCTAGTAATATTCCAACTCCAATTGTGGGAAACTATGTACCCGAGTCCTGCTTCCACTGAGGCTGAAGGTCTGTAAGTAATAGGCAGCTGTTAGCACATGTATTTAAAACAACCACATATTATGAGGTATTAAAAAGGCTGTTGCTTTTTTAAGCTCTTGATTTTTGGTTTCCATATTGTTCAATGAATTCTCTTGCTATTGCTCCTTCTATGCTGCTTTTCTCTATAGGTAAGAGAAGCATGTCAGAAATGCCATGCAAGAACAAGCCTCTAGGTCCCCTACCTACAACAGCATGCATTTTGGTCTTCCTGCCTCTCTTCTGACAGAGCTCTGGCACTGCTGCCAACTGTCTTACTTAAAGAACTCAACAAAGGTTATTCCACACTGTCCTAAGGATTTACCTTCACTCAGCATCAGCAATGGACATTTGGACCACTACAGTAGTAGATGGTTCCAATTAGAAGTTCAGCATGATCGCTCTCACTAGCACTCAAATAACATTTGAGTCTGGTGGCTTCAGACTACTCATAGGGCACAAACTGACACAGTGCAGCAGCCTCACTTGTCAACAGCTCTGTAACCAATATATCCTAGGGACAGATGTTGTCAAGATCCAGTCAAAGGACCCCAACAAAGATACGGATGCCAGCTGTCCATGAGAGCATGAGTTTGTCATCCTTACAAAATGCCACAGAAACCATTAAGCCTCGTGGTACATTAGACAGTGACACCAGTATGTCTAGGGACCATTAACACAGACAGTCCTGTTCTCCATAGCCTTGCTGAGGGGCAGGAGATTGGCTTAGACTTCCAGAATCCTCTCTTACACCACAAAGGGTGCAATACCGAGGAGCTTCTGCTTAGGTTTTTGGTTGGTTGGCTTGGTTTTAGTGGGCAAACTGCAGAGCACTTTGCCAGGCTTGTGTCCACTCTTGAATATTTCATCACTTTAGTGCTCACATGAAATGAAAGGGATGCACAGAGTTATCACTGCAGTACTCTCTCTGCATTATTTACAACCTTGGAGGCTGCAGCACTTCAGCATAATATTGCCAGCATACAAAAAGGCAGAACATCCCCTCAGGCCAGGGGTTTGGTTTCACAGACCGCAGTTTAACACGACTGAGACAGGTCTGTGAACCCCCCTCACACCTCTCATCCCTCACCCCGTCGTTCTAAACGCTGGTGCTCTGATGTGCAAAGACTCCAAACAGGCAAACCCCCTCAGCATTAGGCAGGATGGGCATTAGTAAACCCCTGTACCTTTAGGGAAGAATACATGTCCTTGTTTCACCACTGAGCACAGTTATTCCCACCCCACCCCTCCTCTTGCCTTGTTAAAGTCCTCTGATGTTGCCCTCATTTCCTTCCATGTCTTGTTCAAGAGCTGAATGCAGATGCAGAAGAACTCCTCGAAGGATCTGTCGTGGGTGAAGAACATGGGATGGAAATCGTTGCAGGTCTCACTGGCTAGAAACAGAAAAACAAGGGCGGTGGAATAAAACACATACAGGCAGGAGCTTCAAAACCGAATGTAAACCAGCCACAACAGCTCGGAAACAGTCACTGAGAGGAATCCCTAGTAGCAAAGGATGTCCAAACATCCCAAAAAGCAAACCAACCTTGGCCTACAGGCTTAAAGACAATGAAAGGCAGCACTGAGCTTTTCTGTAGGAGACCAACAGCAAGAATTAAAGGAAGCAACTGCCTATTTGCCTGAATACTCTGTCAGTGGGTGTTTTGTTTGTGCCATGGTTTGTTGTTCAGGCTGGGACAGAGACATGGGGAAGAAGCACAAGTCTCCCCATCAAAACCATAGCTCTCATTCCACTGCTAGCAGCAAGTACCACATTGCCTGCTGAGAGGCAAACCCCAAACCCCATCAGTCACAAATCAGTATTAGAGCTATGTACATACTGAAATGTGAAGCTCTGCTGACACTGCAGGTGATCAACCATATTGTACACAGATATACCACAGAGGTAACCAGAGAAATTCAAAGGTATAGACAAGAATGTAACTGGTTTAATTCGTTCTTTGAAAATAACTGGAAACAAAAGAAATGGATCTTCCACCATCTGCCCCCCATCTGAGACAGAAGGACACCCCCCTCCGCCCCAAAAAACCTCCCAGCAAACCCAAACTACCCTTCTTTAATCTAATGCTGGCTTTAAGGAAGGGAAAATGAAAGATGCCTACAGTGATGATCCCCAAAAGGCAAAGCACGGTTTGGTGAGACTGCTGTAAACCTCCTTGAGCCAAGAACGGATTCTATTCTCCAAAGCTCAGGGCTGAAGCAGGGCGCACCTGAGCAATCTGGAACAGAACAGGCTTCAACCAAGGGCTGAAAAGGAGCCTTAAGGCCAGCTATGATGTGCAGGGCCACCTCTGTGCCGTGTGTATTTATGCTCTTAAGAAGCTAACAGGAAAGGCAAGGTGTCTAAGCCTTTCTTCATATTCCCAGCCCCCAAACCTTCCTCCTCTTCAGGAAGAGCGGAACTAAAGAGCACTGGGATAAATCCCCCTTTTCCTGAGGCTGGATCACTGCCTCACATCTGCTTTCTCTCAGGGAAACTGGACAATTAAGACTCTTTGCAGGAGAATGTGAACTGCTTGGGCAGGCTAACTCCATCAGCTGCAGGCACTTGGTCTTGGTACCTCTTGTAGCCCTTTCAGCATGCTTAGTTATCTCTGTTCACCAGTAGCTCTGCCATAGGAACATGAGGTGTGTTCAGAATAAGGGTTTCTGCTCCCTCACAACATGCAGGATTCCAATTATGAAGCAAAACTCTGAAGCTTAATCCTAAATGTGAAGCTTAATTTTCACATCAGATTTACTAAGACCTAATCAGTTCCCCAGAGGCGTAGCGAGGATGGAGCATTAATTTTGGAGCATAGGTTTAATTCTAATCAAGTAAACTCCATTTACTTGAAAAGGTGTGCAGTAAAGGAGGAATTAGTCAAAGCAAAGACCTGTATTTATGAGGCACAACTCTATCCCTTTAAAAGAATAAAATGTCTCAGGCACGACTTTCAGAGCATCTTCGGCTCGTGTCAATCCGACTGGAGCTGTACGGGCTCCGCACTTCCAGTGATCAAACCTTCAGCCTGTGACAATGGCAGAGACACAACAGCACAGACTCTCAGAGGGTGCTTGTCTTTAAGTCATGGAATACTATAATAATGAGAAGAAATAAACCAACACCGAGCATAAGAATGCAGCCAGGACCTTCGCTGTATAAATCACAGCACGCAACAAGGCAATAACCCTCGACACGCACTGGCCTTTCTCATCCTCCTCAGAGCCTGAGCTGCTCACTGCTCCTGCTCATAAAAACCAATAAATCAACATTAATGGCAAGGCTGGGGATGCTCAGAAACTCGATCATCAGTTCTAACTCGTGCTCCTTATGATAATCAGTCCCAAACTGTATCGAGCGCACTGACTGTTCTGCATGCAGAATCAGGGGTGCCACTGACTCCCCCCCCCCTTTTAGGTTTTTTGTAAGTAGGCAGCATACTGCGTTTTATGGCTTTTCAGTCATATGGAAGTGTAAAAATCGCTGCTATCGATATAATGAAGTAAGTCAGGCCTGTTAGAAAGTGGGATCAATGTCTTAAAGCAAGAACAAATCCAAAGAAAAAGTCAAGGCCAAGTGATAAACAGCCTCCTCAAAATTCCCACCAGCATCCAGACAGTGAAGAAAAACCCCCACATCTTCTACTTCAAAGGTATCATCTTGTCTGTCTCGAAAACTCAGTCCAAAACAATACAACTATCCCAAACATCAAACCCCAAACGAAGCGCATGGGTGGAGTTGACACCATAGCAAACCTTCAGGCTGCAGTTCAGGTCACATCTGTGTTTGGTGTTTCAGTAGCTAATGAAAGACAACCCCTTCCCCAGTATCCTCTTCCTCCTCAGGTCAGGCGAGGTGAGGATGAAGGAAAAGGCAATACTGCATTACTAGTGGTTTCCAGAGCAGAGTACAGCCAAGCCACAACCTGTGGTCTTTGCCTACTCTCTCCAGCCCTAAGTCAGCATCTCCAGTATCAGCACGTGTCTGCAGAACGGGTGAATTTAGAGCTGGTCACTTTTACTAACTAAATGCTTGGATTTATTCTTTCACTACCTTGCAATGTGACTAGTTCTAAACCAAAACGGGCCAGCACTAGAATCATTTGGAGACCTCCTATGCAAGAGCTGCATGCAAAATCCCTGCCCTTAAGCCCAGCACTCTCTAACCTTCAGCTTCACGAGCAGGGGCTGACCGTGTTCATAGCCACACAGAAACACCCACTCAGCTGCAACGCAGGGACACAAATCACCATGATTATTTAATAACAGCATCAAGTTTTAATTACGCCTCCGTGAGATCCCCTTTGGAAGGCAAGTCACAGATACGGAAATCAGGTGAAGATCTCGTTGATTTTCCTTTCTCGCACAACCCTCGGAGCTGTAGATCAATGTGTCACCTCTCAGGATTCAAGCCAGTCCTTCAAGCCTCTGGCTGATCTATAGCTGGGACTTTGAGGGAGCAGCTTAGTTCATTGCTCAACATAAACTGCACTGGCTAAAACCAAAAGGGCTGATTTCAACCTGTGAGTTTATGTGGCTCCTTCAGGGTCTGCCCAAGTGCTTTCCACTTGGAAAAAGGATAATAGGAAAGAACACAATCCTTTTCTCTTAGATTTTCTTTTGTGCAATACTTGGAAGTTACACAGAGAGAACCTGCCCCCAAAGCTACACCAACAGAGACACAGAAACACACCTCTGTAGGCAAGGTATTGCCCTTGCTTTAAAGAAACGTCTCCTTTCTTCCTGGCTGCTAAACTGCTGTGTTGATAGCAGACACGCATCCCCCACCACAGCTTTAAAATAACATATGGTTGTTCTGACCTCCCAGAAATGAAGAGGGCTGCACTGCTGTGAAAGCAGGATAACAAACGGCCGTATCTGTCATGAAGAGGAAGGTTTGAATTTAAGCGTCACTTAACCCATTATGCTCAAAATCCAAAGATGATGCTATGGGGGGGTGATGAGCTGAGGTGACTCAAACAGTCATTTCTTCTGTACATTTAAGGCTTGGACCCATCACACTGGGAATGCACATGAAACACAATCTTCTAATCACAAACGAGCCACCTCTTCCATGGATGCCAGCCACGTACAACTGGCCTACAGAATACAATTAGAACAGATTTGATTAAACAGATAACAAATGTTACGCTGTTTGCTCTGTATTCTCAGGTATCTCAAAAGTAGGCAGAGAGCTTAAATCAATCAAATTACTTAGTAAGCTGTACAAATACAGTCACCTGGTGTTAGTGCTGTCACTCATAGAGGCACAGACCTGTGGTGAGGAGGTAAGCCTCTGTGCTGGGGGTGGTATTAACAGATCCTGAAATTCATCAGTAAAAGCACTCTGGAACTGCATCAGCATCACTGGGAGATGAGGGGTGCAGCGATGCAGAGCCCTAGGGAACTGGTCTGCCAAGTCCCATGGACAGAGGGATTTGAAAGCAGGTCCCCGGGATCCAGGCAGCCCAATCTGCAGAGCTCTGTGTTTGCTGTTACTGAGCTGCTGCTTAATTCTGGGTGAGTCATTTATCCCCTCTGTCGTCCTCCCCGGTTTCACAGAAGGGAGATGGTATTTGATCCGAGAGGAGGCGGGTGGAAAGATCCACTGCACCTTCTGGAGCAGCGAGATCCACAAAAGAAGGGTGCAATACGCACCTTGGAAATACCATCTCCGTTTGGCACAGCCTCCACTGGGAGCATTATCTGCCAGTAACAGAAGGCAACCAAAGAGCAACTAATTCTCACAAGCTCTCAGGAGAAGCAGCACTGGAAATTTGCTTCTCCCTAAAGATGCAGTACAGCAAAAATAACTCCTGCCACGACCGCTTTCACACACACACAATCAAGAACTCTCTGAGTAACAGAGTATGGGAGAAAAAGCACACCCAACACTGCAGAAATACAGCGACTGCCCAGTTATCTCTACCACTGATCCCTGTGGTCTGCGGGCAATAATGTCAGAAAAAACCTTTGGCTGGTTTTCTGGCACCTGATAGGGAAAGAGTGTAATGTAAGGGAAGGAAGGTCACCAGCAGTGGCAGTGCAGTAGTGAAATAGTAATGCTGCTGCCAGATGTGTAATTTGCTTCCCTAAGGAACAGCGCTGTTTAGAAGGCTCAACTGGTATTACAGCAAAAGCCCCTTGTCTTTTTTATGTCGACTGAGAGAAGGATACAAGCAACCAAGCTTCAAGACATGGCAAAATAATCATAGAGTCATAGAATAGTTAGGGTTGGAAAGGACCTTAAGATCATCCAGTTCCAACCCCTGCCATGGGCAGGGACACCTCGCTCTAAACCATGGCACCCAAGGCTCTGTCCAACCTGGCCTTGAACCCTGCCAGGGATGGAGCATTCACAACCTCCCTGGGCTAAGATGCATTTGGTAAT